CTTGCCTTCATTATCCTTGAGATATCCACGTGCTATGTTGAATGACACTGACTTGACCCAATACCACAGAGCCTGTCATGTGTCCCCTCTGGTGCAGGAATGAAAGGGTCACCAGCTGGAGTCTCCTCATAACTTCTCACTGCAATGAATAAAACCATGCCGTCAGAAAAAAAAGAAAGGGAGCGGTTACAAAAATTAACTATTTATTTTTTTGTCAAGAAGTTAAAGTTTAATCTGGCCACCACGGAACCTCGCTTCTCTACCTGATCATAAAAAACCATTGGTTTAATACTACTTCTACTATCTATGTTTCTCACAGGTTAATGTGTCTGTGTAATGACTTGGAGGATTGCTTACACTGCAAGACACCTACAGAACTAAAATATACAGTGGTATTATATAGCAGTGTAGTACTTAGAAGAGAAATTACACTCTTCTACATTCTGCACTGAACACTGACATTTCCAATTAATGGAAGTACCCTTGACACTTAAACATGACTTTAAACAATTGGACCAGTTAAGAAAAGAAAATCTTACAAGGTGCACCTGATTAGTGTGCACTGTTCACAGCACTAAAGCTCAAGTGCAATGGTCTTCAAGCTTTTTAAAGGACCAGGTGTTGTAGGATAGTGGGCATTAAGCCGGTGCGTAACAGGATTACACCCCCTTGCCTCACCATCCCGTGACAAGCATGTAGGAGAAACTACGTAAAAATCTGAAAGGTCCTATCTAAAGCCAGTGTTTGTTTTGTCTATTCTGGACTACTGTATAAACATGGCGGTCTAACATGGCTCTGTAGAAGAAGACCCGCTCCCTGTGTAGATAAAAATGTCTCATTCTAAGGTAATTAAAACAATAAAAGTTGTTATTTTCAGGTGATTATGAACTAATGCAAACATATTAATGAATATTATATTCCATTTCAGCAAATAGATCCTCCCTAAATGTTACACACTGGACCTTTAAGGGAAAACTTCAGACGTACGGTTTTAGGTCATCTAATACTACCTCTACTACCTGGCCAACAGATGGCCTTTTACAGCAATTTACATCATTATACAGTCGAGAGAGTTTGGTGAATCAAAAATTTATTGCATGGAGCACAATATTTTAGCAACCACTCCTAATGATGATGAAACATTTATACCCAGTTTAATACATAATTATACATTATAAAGTCTGATTTAACCTTATGCTTTGATAAAGAAAAGATGACTGTGTGCACATCCAATCCTATATTAAGGTGAAGGATAGCAGATTCATTAGAACAAGAAGCAGCAGAGAGGCTCAGCTGACTGAATTATTGCTAAAAAATAAAAATACTAAAAAATAAATCAGGTTGCGTCCGGGAGATATTAGTTACCTGTCCAGATGAGAGAGGACATCGCAAAGTTGGGTGAGCAGAGCACGATGCTTGTGAGGGTTTCCCTCTAGCACTCCACTGAGACGACTCAGGTATGAATCCAAGTTCCCAAGAGACGCCGTCTCACCTGTACCTGTTCAGAAAAGACACAGAAGAATTAAATCCTCACATCCTCTCAAGGTGAAATACAGTGGAACTGACTGCTGACCTGGCAGGGGGACTGATGACAGACTGTTGACCAGTGTGTGTTTAATGGCCAACAAGTGTTGGTGAAGAGCCTGGGTTCGCTTCTCGTCCAGCCCCAGTTCAGCTTCCAGTCGCTCTTTAGCGTTGTACATGTCCTTAATGTGCCGCTGAAGCACTGCGTTCTGCTCTTCAAACTCAATGTTGGCCTTACGAAGCCGTCGCAACTCAGCCTCTCGAGCTGAAACCACAAAGAGAGAAATAAAACGGGATTTTGTGAGAGCGTAAGATTATATCTAACACCATCTGTTTAATGCTAGATGGAACTTACTTTATTAGGCTTTTGTACCCAGCCATATTAAAGTGGGTTTGTGATAGATCAGAATGAGCATTTTGAGTTTCTCTGTTACCTTTGTTCTGATCGAGGAACTCCTCTGTGAAGATAGGGATGTCAAATCTGCTTGAGAGGTCAGAAGCCTAAAAGGACATCATCAGACAACTTAGCTGTTTGAAATTAATGTGAAATTAACTTGCAGAATATTTTGTGAAAAGATACGGGTGTGTCATGTACCTTTGATAAAGATGACTCTGAACTAGTACTGATGATGACAGATGGAGTGTCTTCTGAAAGAGAAAAATGTGAGTGCATATTACTGCTCACGTAGTACACAGTTATTCAAAAATAATTATACAATATCTTGCCTTGGTGATGTGGTGGTTATTCTTAAAAAAAATTAAAAAATAAGTAGAACTCATTTGTCACCTTTCTTGATCCTCTTGTCTTGTATCTTGGCACTGGTGATCTGATAGGCCTCAGTCTGCTGATATTCCTTCAGTTCCTGGGCATACTGCATCTTCTCCCGTTCAGCCTCGTCCAGGTAGCGCTGTCAGTGCACAAACAATGTTATGCTGCTTTACTAAGGAAAAACATCTGTCTTGCTAATGGACTGGTGCCTGATTATTTGAAACGTTTTTTAAAGGCTTGTAAAAAAAATCTCTTTTATATGTGTTTTTTATGTGTGCAACATCTTTATGAAAGTCAACAAGACAGATGATGATACTCCTTGCAGTAAAAGTCAAACACGGCGATAACACCTGCAACTCGATTCTCTCTGTTAACAATTGTGGATACCAGCCCGGCTGACCAGTAACAGACCATCATTAAATACCTAGTAATCACAATAATGTGTGGTACCGAATATACTATGTTAAACAATACATATAACATGCATACCTGCAAAACATGAATAACTACCTGTTTGTCATTCTGGGCTAATCGTGTCCACTCGGCTCCGAGTCTCTTGGTGATTTCTGGGAAAGGTAAGTCAGGGTATCGGGCCCGCATATGCTCCCGCCGTTCATTCAGGAAGCGGACATATCCTGTTACCGGTGCCTTTGGACCATTTGGTAGCACCTTCTTTCTTTTCTTTCCCTTTGGCCATCCTCTCTTCTTTGGCTGCAGAGAGGGGGAACAACGGTCTCATGAAGGTGGTGGCTGCTCACTCATCTCTACTTTTGCTCAGTAGAAATCTAACATTATGATATACTACGGTTGTCACTAACAATTATTTTCAATTAATATGCAGATTATTATTTATTATTATTATTATTATTATTGTTAATTACCGTTTGGTTGGTAAAATGTAAACAACTAGGCAATAGTATAATAGAAGGATTACTTTCTTTGTTTAACCAGAAGTCCAAAACCCAAAGATATTTCATTTACAATCATATTAGACAAAAAAGAACAGCAAATATTCACATTTGAGAAGATGGAAGCAGAATTATTTGGAACATTTTTGTTTTGAAAATAACCGACTCATCAGTAATTAAAACTGTTTCCTACTAATTTTATGCTAATCCACTAATTTACTCATTGTTCCAGCTCTACTACATAACACTGTAATAAAGGTTAGATATCAGTTCAAACAGTTTCAAAGAGGTGTTATTTCTACTTTATACTCATTTAAGAGGCTTAGTTTTTTTTTTAAGAGGTAGTTAGTGGTGCTGTTGAACTGTATTACATTGAAGTGAGAGGTATTTTTCTGTTTGTTCATTTTCTTGTATGTATTGACACAGTCAATTTCCTTGCTAGGAAAAGTCCCTAATAGTTTCTTATATTCTGCTCAGCCAACCTATCCTGTATAACTTAAAAAGTGAAATACATTTCTAATCATTTGTCCCCTCCTGTAGCATTATAACCTTTATAAAGGTGGCGATTATTACAGGGCTGTTGTATTACTGTGAATTACTTTTAGCTACCTAATAAAATGGGTGACTAGTTTAAGTAACAATTCAACTCCTTAAACAAAACGGCCAATCAAATATTTAGCTGCAAAACTAGACAGCCTTATTCCAAAATGAAAGCAGTGTAGAACAGATGTAAGAGCACTGACCTCCTCTGGTGGCTGATCTGCTGAATGTGAAGGTTTGGGCTGATGTGAAGCATCACTCTGCTCCTGTTTGATCCCCCCCATGATCTTCGTCCGTGCAATCGACTATATTATCAAGAAAATGGGTGTTAAAATGGGTCTCAATCCGTAGGGTTATGCCGTGGGAAGACGTCTGTGCAGAATAACATGGGAGAAGTTGTAAAACAAGATGCGAGCACTGATACATTTCAGCATTATTTCCCCCGCAGGGACTCCGCTTCTAAGCTAACCTGGCTGCTAGCAGCTCTCACACACAACCGACAATATACAGACACAACGGTAAGCTACAATGCTAACTCTTCACAAGGGGGGAAACAATCACAGCTAAATATGTATTGACGCCTAAAATAATCTTTATTGGTACGATGGTAGTTTTATTGAATTCCTTGTACTTTTTAGGATAAACGTCTTGTGACTCACCCGATACCGATTCCCTCGGCCAAACAGGAAGAGAACCCTGCCTGTCTTCTGATTGGTCGGCACCAGAGCCATTAACATATATATTATCTTATATTTATATATTTATTATATATAATGGCCTCAACCCCCCTAATGAAAGTACAAGTACCTCAAGGAAATCTAGTAAAAAAAAAAGCACAAAAGCGGCCTACTTTTTGCACTTTATTATTTTAATAAGGAGTATATTAAGTATATTGGTTTCTTGTCTTTTATATTTTTCAATATATATATAAGTTTGTATTCTACATTTGTATTCTACTTTACTTTTTATTTAACTGTGCTCCCATATACAGTACTCGTACCACGTACCACGTACTTATTATGTTACTATTGTAAGGTTGATAATTACACATTTTATGTTGTTATGCTTTTATGATATGGATGATATTGTTTTTATATGAAACTTGGATAAAGTTTGATTAAAAGCTACGATGTGTGTCTCCGTTCAACGCGCAAAAATCACGTATCCGCAGTGAACAGCCCTATTTCAGCAGTCATAGCGTTTCTGTTTTATTTTGAAAGTCTTCACCAGAAGTTGTCATTTGCCACTTTGTCCGCTGTCCCTGGCGTTAATGTTTGTCGTGAATATTAACCTTCCATTGTGTATTACCACAAATGTTCAGTGTAACGTCCATAAACTTATACATTTATGAATGTATTATATATGTATGGTTTGGTTACTATTTGGAAAGGTTAGAGTCACCGCACGGAGCCCCCCACTGGTCACAGTGAGGAACTGCAACAAAACGTCAGCCTGGAAAAAGCAGGTCAGTGCAGGCCTGGCCTGTGGCAATAGTGACATAACTGAGAAAATCTGAACACAAAACTAAAGGCAATATCATGAAGTAATGGCTCCACGTTGTTACTTTTCCATATCTATACAAATTAGAGGTTTAGAACGCATACAGACTACTAGTATTGCCTCCCTTGCTCAGATTTATATACACGTCCCAAACAAGTCTAGGTCTGTTGACCGATTATCTTATTTACTCAGAATACTCAATCTTTTCATGGTTTGTGGGAAGCATCATTTAAAGATTATATATCTCACAGAACAAGTTTGCCTGGGTTGAGTTGGGCCTGAACCCAGGAACACATGTTGGCAAACAGCAACACCAACAGTTTGTCTGAAGGATAGAGCCATACAACAACTGTAGCCAAGTGTGGTAATAACATATCTCAAAGACCACCTTTGTAGAGTTGAGACAACCAGACTAGAACCAGTGTTTGAGGTTCACTTTTATGTTTGGAGTTAATTTATTGATGGCAATTGTAGTGTAAAAAAAAAAAAATACTAAATTTACAGTGATAAAACAAACGAAGAAAGAAAGAAATGTTTGGCAGCCAAAAAAAAAAAAAAAAAA